ATGCAGTATTTATTATATAGGCATCTCACTAGGCATGCTCTGATTGTTGAGAACAATGCTTTATTAGAAAACAGAGCATAGTGCTGGCAACATCCATGCATGCAGTATTTATTATATAGGCATCTCACTAGGCATGCTTTGATTGGTTGAGAACTATGCTATATTAGTAAAAACAGGGCATGGTGCTCGCACCATCCATGCACATGCAACCCTTCTGTGCAAATTGTGTTCAATAGAAGAAGAGCCACTCCTTGGAACCACTGTTAAATACCCTGTTAATTCCCATTATTATCTATAATATATTATTATTATCTAATATTTTTATGCTTTTATCAACATAAATTTTGTGAATTTCCAATGTTTCAGCTACGAGGTACAGATCAACATCTTTCRAAAAGCTCCAGAGTACTAACTGCAATGATGAGAAGGTAAAAAGTTAGCYTTGGACCAATGTAGGATTCYCCTCTCTTTCTTTTGGGGTGTGGTAATTGTTTCTTTGGSGGGCTTCCTGTGGTGTGTAGATCACACAGGGACCCCAAGCAAAGAAAGTACAAGAAGAGAGRCACTTAGTGAGGAGGTTAACTTTTTTCTTTCATCACAGCAAAAATTCATTAAACCRTTGAAATTACTCTTTTTCTCAACAGAGTTATTCAGAATAGAATTATCATGGCTGTAATTTGCCTTGTCATTCTTGGAGTTATTGGAATCATAATCTATGTGTCKGTAAAGAAAAAGTCGTAAGGTGTCAAAGGGGGTWTRAATTCCAGGTTCATCTGCATCAGTATATATTTACTTCAATAAATATTGTCACTTRAAAGCTAATATGTGCATAAAAGGTGTGTGGCCAATAAGAATTGCGGGTCATTTATGTGATAACACTAACTTTCAGAAGAATGCTTGCCAAGGTCAATTAGCAACTTWGAGAAACACTCCACACATAATTGAATATTGGTAGGACAGCATGGAAATTACATCCCTGTACTACAAAGTTATTTTTGATGCATACTTTCATAATWCTTAGTTTTCACATTGTTAGCTTTTTTGGTGACTATGAAAGTTAATGAAATATGTTAACTGTCATAAATGTGATTCCAGAAAATTTCCATACTCCACCATGGAGGAAATTTGAAAAAGGTCTCTGCAACCCTCTAGAATTTCCAATTTTCTTCCATACAAACCTCGTAATATTGTTTTTTCTTTGACCCCCCCCTGATTTGATTTTGATATCCTCCATGATAGGGTATGAATATTTTCTGGAACTACATACATCATTAAAAAATATCATACAGTATGAAATAGTATCATGATTCTCCTGTAAGTTTGATTGGGAAAGAGCCATCAATATAAACCTGTCTTTTTGGCTCTGAATTACTGACCTCGCAAGGAGAATCACTATACAAAACTTATTAAAATTTTGAGTTGTTTATATTTAATGATGTTAGATTCCTCCCGACTAGCTACCAATATAAACCCATATTAGTGGCTCAAAATTTGCAATAACTTATGAAAATTGTAGATGTGCATGTATGTTCTATAGACTTTCTCTTGTTTACATATCATTTACCACTGTTTTTATTATGTGCTGATCAAGACAAAGATCATGACAGGTTAAACAGTAGTCTCCTATGCAGCCGCTATTAGTGTCGTCACACCACACTACTTAGGGGAGTAAGCGTTGCATGACGAAACTAATAGCAGCTGTGTAAGAGACTAGTTAAACAGTAGAAGACTACAGTCAATCAAATATATGGTTATGATATGAGTCCCATGTTTCTTACCTACTCTTTAGCAATATAGTTCTTGAGCCAAATGGACTATTGATGGTTTTCATGGCTGCCATGTTGGAGGAATTTCACAAAAGATTTGTCATTAGTTATATCCTCCAACATGGCTGCCGTGTCTTTTGTAATTACATTCTCTTGGGAATGATTGAAAACCATCGATTGATTCATTGGCCATGAGGGCGAGAGGACTAAAGTGTTTTAGTCAAAACCAACTTGTTGGTCAAATATATAGATATTGTAAACAAGTTTTGAGTTAAAGTTAAATTTAATGTATTGGTTTTCAAAGCTGGCACCTGTAGAATATAACAGCATTAGCACTAGTTGGATTTGACTAAGGTGATTTATTTGATTGATGGTAGTCTATTGCTAGTAAACTGAATACATATATCTACATTGTGTAGTTTCAGAAATTATCCATACCCACCCCACAAAGGAATTTGGAATTTCTGAAGAGTGGGGGGTGAGGGGGGTCAGAGAAAGAACAAAAATTACAGAGTTTGTATGGAAGAAAATTGGAATTTCTGGGGGTAGGGGGTGTCTTGTGTCTTAAAAAATTCCTCCATGGTGGGGGAGGGGGGTATGGATAATTTTTGGAACTACACATTTTTTAATTGAATTTGGGGTCGTAATGTGTCTTTCAAGTATAGGGGAACAAGAAAATTAAATTTTGCTCGAAATTCAAAAAACTAATGAAAGGATTCAGCTCAGTGTCTCTTAGGGAACGAAGRCTCTGCTGGATGGCATACAAAATGCATAATTACTATCTTGACATTAAAAATAATACTATCTCRCTATAACTTAGGTCCTCTATCTATCATCTTAGATAGATTCATTATACCTTACTATTTCATGAATGTGCTTTAAAGTTCTAGCTAGCTTTATAATGCCATAAACTTTCTGAATAAAACGTCTTTTCTGGGAAAGTTCATGAATGGAATGTGGTTTAAAAAAAGAACTGCTAGATTCTTTTGATCATTGGTAAAAAAGGGACATTAAATATATCTTTTTTTTAATTTTTATTTTTGCAACTCTTTCCAAGAAGACAAAGAAATGACAGACATGTTGGCAGTATTATATATTATTATATAGTAAGGATAGTACGCGCCCACTGATTGGTCGAAAACTGTGCTTCATTAGTGAACAGAGCACAGTGCTGACGACATCCGTGCGCACAAAGTGCTGCTAGATCCTGCGACCGTCTTTCTTTTAGCGTAAGTAAATTCAATACCGGAAAAAATTAGTAACTATATAATAAAACGAATAAAACATTCAGTAATAAAGCTCTTAGGAAGCGCTGTAAGTACTCGAGAAGTGTGAGAAAAACTCACTTAAGGCTCATGCTTCTCCTTACATTTCTTGCGTGCTTTATTACTGAACGGAGCACGGAAAAAGCTGTTTTATTCGTTAAATAAAGAAATCTTTTATGAAAGACCACTGACATTGCCTATAGAATCGTTTACATGGACAACATTTTTAGAAATTCAATCTTAGCTTTTCTTACCTTTCTGTAATCTCAGAAAACAAGTTTTAAGATGATTTCATTTTCGTTTTGGCGACCATGATCCTTAGCATTAAAACAATAGATTGTGTGTGACGACACTGAAAGCGGCTGTGGGGGAGACTGGACGTCATAGGGCAATAATTACATCCATTTTAAATAAAAAATTTCAGACTATTTTTTTCTCTCATTCCTTCATTAAATGAGAGGTGCAAGGGACAATATCGTGATTTACTAGTACCATCCCAATAAATAAAGAAACRACATATATAGATTGCCAAGGNTGTAATATTCTGTTTATTATATAATTATCAATGAAGTATGTTTTGGCTTTTTCAGGCAATTCTTTCCTTGTATTTTTGAATAGCCATCGCAATGGTGTTATTTTCACACGTGAAAATAACATGTTATTTTCACGTGTGAAGATATCAATTTTTAGAAGTAGAGAAAAATAGATATTTCATTGGTAATTATATAATAATACCTAATACAGCCAACATGACTGTCATTTCTTTGTCTTCTTGAAAAAGGGTTGCAAAAAATTTTTTAAAAATAAAATGATTTATTATATAGTAAGGATAGTACGCGCCCGCTGATTGGTCGAAAACTGTGCTTTATAAGTAAACGGAACACAGTGCTGACGACATCCGCGCGCGCGCAAAGTGCTGCTAGATCCTCCGATCGTCTTTCTTTTAGCGTAAATAAATTCAGTACCGGGAAAAAATAGTAACTATATAATAAAACGAATAAAACAGCTTTTTCCTTGCTCCATTCATTAATAAAGCACTTAGGAAGCGCTGTAAGTACTCAAGTAGTGTGAGAAACACCCGCTTAAGGCTCATGTTTCTCCTTACATTTCTTGCGTGCTTTATTACTGAACGGAGCACGGAAAAAGCTGTTTTATTCGTTAATTGAAGAAATCTTTTATGAAAGACCACCAATATTGCCTATAGAATCGTTTACATGGACAAAATGTTTAAAAATTCAATCTTCTTAGCTTTTCTTACCTTTCTGTAATCTCAAAAAAAAATAATTTTAAGGTGATTTCATTTTTGTTTTGGCGACCATGATCCTTAGCGTTAAAACAATAGATTGTTTGGATGTGACGTCATATAGTCTCCCCCACAGCCGCTTTCAGTGTCGTCACGCAACGCTTTCTCTCTGCTCAGGGGAGAAAGCGCTGCGTGACGACACTGAAAGCGGCTGTGGGGGAGACTAGACGTCATAGGGCAATAACTACATCCATTTTAAATAAAAAAATTCAGACAATTTTTTTCTCTCACTCCCCCATTAAATGAGAGTTGCAAGGGACACTATCGTGCTCCACTAGTACCATCCCAATAAATAAAGAAACGACATATATAGATTGCCAAGGATATCAGACTAGTTTATTTCATGATATGACTAACATTTTGATTTCAATTACAAGCTTGTGTTCACATATATTAATTCAGTTTGATAAGCTGCATCGCTRTATTCACAGATGTGACTTTAGTTGAAACCATTCCTGAAAAATTGTAAAGATGATGTATTTATTGTAAAGATTATTGTAAAAATTATAAAGATGATGCATTCCCTCCTTTCATTATTACCTGACCAAGGGCGGATCCAGGGTCGGGGGGGTCGCAACCCCCCTGTCATTCCTGAGGTCAAATGGGCTTCCTGTGGTAAAAATGCGACTGGGATTCCTTTGCCCACAAAATTTACCCCTGAGACACCCCCCCCCCTTCAAAAAACCGTGGATCCGCCCTTGCTGACCCCCTGATAACCAACGCTCTGTTCTCCCCTTATGACCCCATACTTTTATTATGATATCCTAAGAATCAAACTGGATCCCCTTCCCTATATTTTGATCTTCATCCCATAAAAATCCCACACCMTCCCCCTTTATAATGCTATCTTTTTACATCGTGATCCTCTAAAATCGCTGCAACGCCCGATTCCTTCTAGAATCAAAATCTTTATAATGAACCCTTCCCAAAAGTAAAATGGATGCGAGGTTAACATGAAAATACAAAGGAAATCACACTTTATCTCGATGGAATTGATGCCACTCCTTTCGTATTTTCACGTAATTCTCGCATTCAAGATAGTTTTAAGAAGGGTGTGTGAAGTGTATGAACTGTCACGCTTTGACTAAGTTTGTTATGTGACATAATTTAGTATGGTATCAAGTGACACGTAGATAGAGATAAGATACATAGGAGAGAACACGTGTAAGCACGAGTATCAAGCTCTAACGAGTGAATAAAGGATTTTACTACTGTATTTGTATCTGGAGTCAGATTGGAGCTTGTAACAGGTGCATTAATATATAAAAACCAGAGAATARGCTAATTGGCTACGTACCTCGGTCACTTTTAGGCTGTTTTGCACACCTCGTTAACCTTCTGTTGGATCCAGTTTAYTGCATAGCCGACTCTTGCGAACACCGTGTAATATGATAAGGAACAACCAGGCTTACCCCAGCTAACGACGCCACGCAGAACCCATTTACCACCTTCTTTGCAGGCCAGCGGTCCACCACTATCACCATGGCAACCACCTGTCTTACCTATTTCTCCTGCGCACAACATGGTYTTATGATCCACTTTCAATATATTACCATTAGTATTAGTGCAATGATGTTCATTGGCGATGGATAAAGTGGTCTTTTGTAAAACTTTACCAAATTTCCTGTTTTCATAGTCTGTGTATCCCCACCCTGCAATGAAAAGTCACCAAAGTCTTTTTAAGTTTTCGATYGGAATTTTCATAATGCCAATCAGTGTACAAGTAAGATGATGGCAATACTGCTCTACCAGTTTACGGGAGAGCTTCGGAGGTGCAGTGTTAGCGCTCCCGGCTTGTGGAAGSTCYGGCCGGGTTCGATCCTTGGCTCATGCCAAAATTGAGGTGTCAAAAACCTGTCTCTTTACAYTGGGGATTGTGAATCACTCGTAGTTCGGATGACTATGTTAAATGGGGACGTAAAAGAACAGTCCACTGAGAACACAACGCTAAACCCGTGACCGTGACCAGGGATTGAGACCGGCTTGCAGCGGTATAATACCAAAGCTACTGGTGAATGGAGATAGATAGATAGATAGAAGGCTTTATATTTAATGAGGGTTGCACGAAATAGTTAAAAGCTAATAAACTAGTAGCCCTCAATTATACAATCATTAAATAACTAATATAAAGTCTAAAAACAAAAACTGCTGAATATAAATCTATAAAAATGAAGCCTCAAAAAAGTGTATTACAACCAGAAAGCAGTTCTATAAAGATTTKTATTGCTTTTTCTTCATGACAGGATTGGATGTCCAAAGTTGTAATTGTCTCGGTGGAGGCTTAATCATAGACAGAACATTTTTCACTTTATATTAGTGTATTAACGGTATTTCTGAGTAGAATTGGTCGACGTTACAAACCTGAAAGAAGACACTTTTCGCCGATACGAGCTCTACTATTTGCCTTTGGAAGAGCGATGGGTTGGATGGCTTCATTGAATTCCAGTGGCTTGTCCAAAAGAACAAGAGCAAAGTCCTTTTGGAGTTTTGAATGACTATAGTCTGAGTGCAGGAACAACTTCTTGATTCGTCGAGTTTCCTCTAAGTTTGTTTTTCCGGCTGTACTGTGTGCACCTATTTGAATAGATCATAAAAGATCACTTATCGTTGCAGAACGTCACACAAGAAACTAAACTGACTTCGTATAGTAACCTTCTTTCTAGTTTCATCAACCTCAGTCGTAACTCGCAATTATTATTTTTATTTAATCGATTCATTTGGAAGAAAAAGAAACAATTTAGGTGGRATTTGCACGCCGTTTTCTGGCTATTTCTAAACAAAAACGAGAGAACTGTTACTCACCAAAGTGCAATCGATAGGAGCTCCGAGCCAAATGAGTGGGGAAACAATGGGCAGCRGACAACACCCAGTGCTTGGACAAGATTGATCCGCCGCAAAAAGGTCTGCCTCCGTAACGCACAGAAACCTGCCATGGAATTTCGTGCTGGATGGCGTTTAGTCCATTGATTACACGTACATCTATTTCCTCTTGGGGATTAGGATCTGAAACGATAAGGTTAGAGTGTTAACCCGTGAAGAAAGAGTTTATACTATATGTTATAGGAGAGGCATATGAGTCTCCTCTACTGACTATGGCAAAATATATACATATTAGAGTTCTTCCGCACAAGAGCGTTAGAGATGGAAATGTATATTTTTGGACCTTAGGAATGAAATGAGCAAAAACTGCATGAACCGCATCGAACATTTGTATTATCAAATTATTTAGATTGTGTATCTATGAAAAAAAGGTACCATCGTTTTCACTTAGTGTCTTCTGTCCTACCTTGTGTGCAAATGTWCTAAGCGTAATTGACAATACAGATGATGATTGTTGCATGCAGTGCGCGTGGTTTTTGTTTCCTCAAGGTCCAAAAATATACATTTCCATCTCTAATGCTCTTGTTCACATAACTCTAGTATGATTGATCAATCCCAATATTGTTTTCTTTTCTTTTAGCTTTTTTTACGATTTTGTTTCACCGGTTAAATACAAATCATTCCACAGGTAGGTTATTGCAGGAAAACGAGAAGATAGAGAAAAAATAATGAAACTAAAAACTTTTCTCCCTTATTTTTATTTCGCGTTAGGAAAAAGTCGATCCTTAATTAATGTAACGTGGTCCCCATCAGAGAATCAATCGCGCAGATTCCATTTTTCATACGCCATACTGCGTAAGTGTGTTGACATCGGCTAGGTAGTAGTTCAGATAAACAAGGTAGACTCGCTATATACTTCATTTTATTAAACCCCCGCAACGACCTCTTAGCTGACTGATCTAAGTCAGGGCACGACTAACTCACAGATCGAACCCTGAAACAACCTCTGGGCTGATCTAAGTCAGGGCATGGCTAGCTCACAGATAGAACCCTGAAACAAACTCTGGGCTGATCTAAGTCAGGGCATGCCTAACTCATAGATCCAACCCTGAAACAACCTCTGGGCTGATCTAAGTCGGGGCATGGCTAACTCATAGTTCGAATCCCGAAAAAAACTCTGGGCTGATCTAAGTCAGGGAATGGCTAACTCACAGATCAAACCCTGAAACAACCTTGGGGCTGATCTAAGTCAGGGCATGGCTAACTCACAGATCAAATCCAGAACAACTAACAGATGCATGGAATCGGAATTTAGCGTGTGAGGAGGGAGGAAAACCATGCATAGAACCTTGAGGAAAACCTTCGAGTCAAGGGAGAGACCTATTACTGACAAATCGTATTCCCGTAGAGGCTAGGACTGAATATAGAAAATAGGTATGGAACACTGACCATCTCTTAATAGCCCCTATGCCGGGTATTAAAGACTAACCTTTTAGTTTGATACAATTCAATTAAGACAATTTAAATCTACTTCTTACCTTGATCCAAAGGCATTGTCATTCCACTCACATGGTAAGTGCCGAGGCATACGRAAACCAAACAGACGACAAATGAGAACTGCATCTTCGAGGTTGGTCAAACTGTTGATCCTCTTTCATTCAAAGTCAAGATAACAGTGTTTCAAAAAGTCAAAACTTAGCTCATATATGTACCTAATTACTTTGCATAGAAAGCACGGGCCTCGTTGGAATTTTAAAAATACAATTATTACTGAACCGATATCATTGAACGTTGCCTAGCAGGGCGTTCCCCTCTTTTAAAGAATCCAATTATGGTCATTAACCAATTGCTCCATTGTTAAGTAATTAGACCTATACTCACTCTTCTACTTTATAGTTGGTTTTGTTGTGTTCAATAAAAATTGTGTAGAAGTAGCGACTTACTAAAGCATTTAACTAAGAAATTCAGCGATAAAAAACTATATTTTAAAAACATCTTTTGATAAAAGACGACGTTTCGACGTTTACAATAAGAATAAGAATAAGAAAATACAAACTATATATAAATCATGAAACAATGAAAGCTAATTACGAAAAGAAGATATATGTTCAAGAATAAAAGATAGTAACAATGATATAATTACATGAATAAAAGGGAAAGAAAAAGAAAAAAAAAAAAAGTAATTAGGAGGAGGTTCATTACTGTAACAACTAAGTTGTTAGATGGGTACTTACAACCCTGCCATAACCTATCAACCATGCAACTGATTAGCATTTAGCACACCAGCTTTATTTCAGCTGACTGTGTCGTACCAAAAAATACAGAGATATCGAATTATAATTTAGAATGAGTTGATTTTTGAAGCACAGGAGATGCAACAAACAGCATATGTCAGTATGTATTGCAACAGTTTGGCATCACTGGGTATTGCATAACCACACGCAAAAGTGTGTTGAGCAATGGGCGTTGCCCACCACGACGATTAACACCTCGTGCTCAACATCAACACCAACGTTTTACGCATGCRCACTTCATGTCGTGTTCCAACTGATTTTCCCAGTGATAAAGATCACTTTCCAGAGAGGCAGGCATTCAGTACCAACCACTCAAGAGTCAAAGTCTATACTTCAGTGCAAAGGTAAATTATTAGATACTTTTAGTTGTAGAAAAGAATGGTTCACCTTCCGACACTGTGTGTCTATTATAAACGGTTTCGGTTGATTCGATTCCTGGGACCAGGATAGAGTTTGTTTAATGTGTGGTTTTCTCCTCTGCCACGAGGGTTTTTCTCTGGTTTGTACCCATTGTTTTCAACCCATTCGCAAAGATCAACGTGTAAGTTAGGGTTTGCGGAGGGAGGACAATTCGAACGACCTGGATATAGTGCTATAAATCCAAATTCTTATCCAGTGGATAAGTCGATGCTGTTATCCAATAAAT